TCATTGGAATAACTCGGAGCTACTGATATTCCGTAGCACACCATTACACGAGCAAAAATAAATCATTGAATACGTTAATCAAAATATACCATATTTACAAGGCTCTTTTATTTATCTAATCTTCGAATTTCTCACGATACGTTCAGGTTCATACAAATTCTATGAACTGGTAATCATAAATTCTAGGAAGAATCTTTCCTCTAACCTCCAATGCCAGGAAACTACATTGATCAACCCAATGGAAAACAATATAAAGAATGGAATGGGAAACCCACTGTTGAATCTAAATTATCATAAGAATGAAGACCCAACCATAAATTGATACAGTTCCTGAGTAATCATGGAAAAGTAAGGGCATATTTATACAGGTTCAATATTTCAGATAATCCAACTTGAACCTGGTGGGTTTTTGGATAAAGACCAATAACCCATAACCATGTTAGGAGTGGATTGTTGCATCTGTACATTTAAGTTACAACATGGCCTATGGCAGACACTGATCACTCTTGAAAGCTCACTCTATTGATTTTCAAAAGTTATTAAGTTATTAAACTTAATGTGGTGTAATATAAAATAATATACTAATTGAACCTACACATACAAGTATATAATTATTTGTACCTTTCTTTTTATAAGCCACTGTTTCTTAGTATGAACATGATGTGAACCTTAATTATTTATTGGTTGTATAAAAGACAACTTTTTTTGTGGTATTTTGGTTTTATTACTACATATTATAATGGTCATTTAGCGGTACCAATGACTGACTCTATCTTCAGCCAAAATATATCCCAAAAAAATTTACATTTAAACTTTACAAATTATAAAATAATATACTTGTTTTGTAAATAGGTTTTATGTAATGTTAGTGTTGAATGCTAATTCATAAAGTTTTTGGAATTTTTTAGCTGAAAATGGGCTGCTGACGTATATTGTAATAATAATAAAAACAAAATAACAAAATTAAACAAGAAATTTAAAACATTAAATTCAAAAATTGGCAATATAATAAACTCTCAACACGACACGCAAGAATGGCACAATTACACAGAAGACAAACACTTTGAGCCCTGAAGATGATCACAATAAAGATCGAAACGTTCGCACGATAAAGAAAATGTTTTTCTGAAACCTACATCACACCAGACCGCACCTCACGATTTCTGAATAAATATAATAAAAATTAAGTTCGTTAATAAACTTTTAAACGTCAAAAGAACGTGTTTTATCCCAATCAATAAATTATTTATATCTTTGTTTATTTTTTTAGTAGTACTTCAGCCATCGGTTATACGTTATAATACAAAATTACGAAAATCACCAAAATTTATTAGGTCGTTACATACGTTTTATTAAAATGAAGCGTGTGGAACATGGTGAAGATTAAATGAAAAACCTCTAATTCTGCCTCCAAGCAAATTTTTGTCGATTTAGCTGACAATATCAAATTTGTAACATGGTTCTTGCAAACATTTCAGTTATTAAATCAAGATTCTTTTCTATCCTCTTTCCTAAGCTCAGGGGAGAATTCTGACGATTCTAATTGAAAAATGGCACAAGAAGAAACATGTAAAAAATTTTTCAAACGCTATTAGAATGTACGTTATAATAGATTGGTACATAGAAAAGATAAAAAGGAGTTCTTTGGAGACTATAATTTTGTTCTTAGTCGGTAGTTTCAGTTGTTTATTTGTAGGATTTTTGCTATTTGTGCTACATAGTTTATTGTTCCCATTTATCTTTGCATCCAAACAGAGCGGCTATTGTGAAAATTCTTGTTTCCCAACACACCTTATTGCGTCGAACGCGCAATGTTTCAACCTCATAAGTATTTTCAATAACTTAGGTAATCTGCAAAATTGCTTTAAATTAATAACGACTGAGGTCGTTAAGATTTAATTTTCCATAGAACATGCAAGTATAAATCTTCTTAGTTAATCACCATTGTGCGTTTAATATTTTGTTTAGCCTTATGAGTAATAATGTTTAAATAAAGATTCAACGTTATCCACTCAAAGAATCATCTGCCGTTGAAAGTTTAATGAATTAATTATCATTGTACGTAAGCCTAATAGGAATGATTTTAATACAAATAATAATTTAATGATTTTTTCTAAGCCCGAATAATCGCCAAAACCCACCCTCAGCGATCCTAAAAAGGAAAAACGCTCATTACAAGAACTTAGAAGTCCGGCAGTGAACGGTTAAGACTATCGATTCAAATGACTGCGACAAAGGGCAAACATGCTCCAGTTGTTGGATTATCACGGCTCAACGATCAAAACCCTTTTGATCATCCTTTTCGGCTCTACAGTTTCTTATGCTTGACAAGTGTGAACAGGATCTATATCGTCTTTCACGGGGATCAACCCCCCCCCCCTTTGGACGTAATTCATGTATTATCGCATTATTAGATGTCTACTGAAACCTTAAGTTATTAATATATACATTTATTTAAAGTTTAATGTTAAGATATTTTCATCCCTTTCGATTTCTAAAGGAGGTGTACCGATGGGTTTCCCGATAAAACCACATAATATTTTATTAGGGAATGAAGTTATTAATGGATTGGCCAAAGAAGGGTAAAAAATATACCAAATTGCCAATTTCTATCAGTATCAGTTTCATACAAAACAACCGTAATTAAGTCCTGTTGTGAATGCCACAAAAAAAGTCACTAACTACTAAAAAAGTTCTTGTTTATAAGCTGATATAAGTTTTAAGATGTTTCAATTATAGGTCCGTCCTATCCAGGATAAACACCAAATTTAAATAGAATCAGTAGAATGCCCGTCGTCAGAGGCAATAAGAAGACGATGTACTTTGTCTCTCTCTCTCTCTCTCTCTCTCTCTCTCTCTCTCTCTCTCTCTCTCTCTCTCTCTCTCTCTCTCTTTCACTCTCTCGCTCTCTCTCTCTCTCTCTCTCTCACACACACACACACACACACACACAAACAGAAACCATACAGATATTTCAATTTGTATGTTGCCCAAGTAAAACTAACAGAATAAATGTTTTAATCAATTTTTTAATAATCAGTTAGTTTATCAATTTATTTACTCGTGAATTTTTTTCTTTGATTCTCCAAGAGTTTGATATTTTAGATAGACGGAAATCTGGTCCCCAATCGACTGTCGGTGGAACTATGTTTGTCAGGGATTGTTCTAAGAGGGCTCTTATCGATCCGAGCCCCAGTTTCAGATTTAGCGATAAAGATGCGAAGTCTTGCCCGGCTCTTGATACGGCCGAGGATGAAACAAGTTTAAATCTATTTGGCGACAAGAGGCCGGCCGAGAATTAGCATGCTAACCGCCTACAAAGGTTCAGTTTTACAGGAAATTAAAGCGTTATCGGGGTTTCACGAGGGCGGAGAGCGAGGGCGGTTGGATATTACGGAAAAGAGGAGAAAAGAGAGGTAATCGTGAGAATTTATCCTATCTTCTCTTATCGTCAAATGTTTAAATTCGAAACTAAGCCAATCTCAGTTATTAACCTAACCGTTTCTGTTCACGGCAGCGGAACAAAAACAAAATAGAACCCTTAAAAAATAACTTGCACATTGTACAAACCAAACCCCTGATGATAAAAAGAAACAGAATCTCATAAAAATCGTGTAAATTCTCATATTTATGTAAATTTATGTATAATTTTATTTGTTATAATTTATGAAACATTCATTATCTTTCTTTCTACAGTTCTGAAGATAAATGATATTGTCATAACCTGTTACATGTTCAAATATTTAGAATCATGCAAATTTCCAGCCCCTTAACTATTCCTACAATAAATCGTTTACCTCGATCGTTAACATAACAAAACGAACCAAAAAACAAAGTCGAACCCTTAAAACAAAACGTGAGATTAATATATACTAGCCTAGTGACAACAAACATAATAAAAATATAGGCTATCTATCATAGCTATCAGCTATCTTGGAGATATATATATATATATATATATATATATATATAGAGTCACGGCCTGTAAAAATGATACGTTAGAAGATAGTTTCTCTTCTCTGTGTAAAATTAAACTTTTTTTAATATTATTACTAAGCTTTTTGTTTAAGGTCATGGTTGAGATGAAAAAGGTTGCCAGGATAGAGATTCGAACCCATGACCTTCGGCTCGATACGCCACTGCTCTAACTACCTAAGCTATCATGAATTTGATCCACTCGGACATAACTCCTGCTTTCAACCTGCAACCTGTTTTCCCACATTTTGTCATATTTTCACTATTATTATTTGGTCGATCGAACCACGAACTCTAATGGATTTAATAAGCAAAATGAAGTATATCTTCACTAAAGCTCTCCGTGGCCATTTCATTTGTCGACGAGTATCGATTAGATTACACGACATTTGAAAAATGGCAAAAAGGAGGGAAAAAATTCAAAAGGTGAGGTTGAGATGGGTAGTTAGTGTCCGAGTGGATCGAAGTCACGATAGCTCAAATGGTAGAGCAGCAGCGTTTTTAGCCGAAAGTCGTGGGTTCGAATCCCGCTCGTGACACTGACTTTTTTTATCTCAACCAATACCTTAAATAAAGATTTTTGATAGAGCTGCTATCGTTTCCATCGTAAACTCCTTCACAAAATAACCATATTATTTAGGCTTTTTATTCAGTTTTTTCAAATTTTGATCAAACTTGAACTTAGAATTGCAGCCACTATTCGTTGCGTGAGCGAGTTGCTAACGGCCCTTCTCGCTTTAACGCGCTATGGAATTAAATGGTTCCAGAATTTATTGCCTTCTTCGGATTAATTCGTAAGACGGTAGAAAGCACGTAGTGGAATGCATTTAACCCGAGGGGATATAAAGTAGAACAATAAAATAGCATCTAAGCAAGTAAAACCAGCCTGCTTGGTGCCAATGGAGCCTAAACTAATAAATGACGAGGAGCCGAAGGAAATTTCTCAGTAGTAATTGCATTGCATGCTTTGCATATCTTTGTTCCCATCTCTTTTTATACTTACGTCTTCGTTTTTTCTGTTTCAGATGCTAAACGATGTTAACGACGCTATCCACGACAGTAAGTTTTGTTTTTCCTAGTTCAAAAATGCCTTATTTACATTGTCACCGAGTAAACATCGTATTTCTTCCTTGAGACTATTATAAATCTTTCAATACAAATAATCCCTTGTAAATAGCCCGCGCATGTTTAAGTTAACGGCAAAGTTGAAATGTCAAAGTACGAGTGCCTACGAGGACACATTGTAACAAGGTGACCAAACAGTGAACCTCGTCAATATTACCCTTGTAAATAGGGAGAGAAACGGGCGAGTAAATAATCTCCACACAATTCAACATTCAGTTCATTCCGACTTTACACACTAATTTTCTTCTTTACCATTCATGGTCTGGATGTATATTTTTATTCTTATTTTTCTTGAGATACTTCGATTTGTCAATACATAAACCACAAGATCATTCTACATCAACTGTACATACACGAAAGTTCGTTATAAAAAAAGTTACCCTAAAATTATATGAGATTTATTTTGCACAGGCTGTTTTTTAAAATATGATTTTTCTATTTATTTCAGAGCAAACTATCTAAAGCTAGAACAAAACAGTTTTCCAAATTTTCCATTCATTAAATATCGTGCAAATCGATTTCGAATTTCTATTCGAACACGAAATAGTGTATTTTTAATGAAAAAATATAAGAACAAACTAAGAAAAGGGTGAAGCGAGATCTAATGGTATTTAATCTCTTATATTTCAATTTTCTGTTTAAAAAAATACTATAAATGTATATACATGAAATATAAATAATGTACACATATAAATGAAACCTAAGAAAAATTTCTACTAAAAAACTACACTGGGGAGCAAGAAAAGTGGCCTCGGTTTATTTTTCGTAAATATTTCCAATCGTTATTATTGTTATTTTTTGTTGTTTACAGGATATTTTTAAATAAAAACGAAAGATGTAGGTAAATCAAAAATTAAAATGAGTAGAACCAATTATCCCAAAAAGGTTGCTATGGAAGGAATGAATAAAATCTTTCAATTAATTAAATTTTATGCAAGATATTGGTTGAGATAAAAAAGTCAGTATCACGAGCGGGATTCGAACCCACGACCTTCGGCTGAATCTCATATAATATCTTTAAATATCGTGCTAGGTAGGTAAAAAATGGACTGCTTTTTGAGCATGTTTGGCATAAAAATGGGGTCATTGTCATGCATAAAAATGAAATCGTCGCCAATTAGTGGCATATAAGGAACAACTTCTGATAACACATCTTCAATGTATCGCACAGCTGTTAGGGAACCCTCGATGAAGAACACGTTAGTGCGACCATCCACAGAAATGCCGTCCCAAATCATAACACAACCACATCCATATCCTAGAAAATGTTGCGTGATATATCGCTCACCTGCGCTTCTCATAACCCTCGTCAGAAGAGTATAAACGAAGCCCCACACCCTAAAACAAAATTTTAATTCAATCTTGCTCAGACAATTGATGTGATTTCTTGCGAAACTCAACAGCATTGTCAGAAGTTCTGGACCAGTGGCAGGCCTTCTCGCACGTAATCCAGCTTCTAAAAATCTTCGACTCGCAGTGCTCAAACTGACATTAACATTTCTAACTTGTCGAATTGTTTGATCTCGACAGCGATAGAATACGAAGTACTTTTGAAACAACGATCCTCTCTCTGAGATGTAACACGATGGCGACCTGATCGCTGCCTTCTTTCTTGAGTAACGATTCTCCAACAATGCTATGATTCTAGCCGAATATGTATCACTAAAATCCATCACTCAAACAGTTTCAAACTTAAAAATGGTACAACTTACAAACATCAAACCACCAGAACGTTGTAAAGCAGCTTTACAGAAAAACCAACAAAAAAGGGATTGACTATTCAAATATTTATTTACAAAATTTAATTGTAAACACGGTGGAAGATTTTATCTGGGTTTTATTTATCTGTAATCATTTAAAACAGACCAAATATTGTTGTAAGATAATCAAAGAATGGTTGTCTTGCAAAATTAAAAATATTAAGAGTGCCACTTTTTTTGCATCACAGTGTATATGAATGATAGATAAAAACCATACTTTTTCACTGTTCTCATTGAGTGGGTTTTCCATAAAAATTCCAGTGACTTTCCCATTTGCCCATTTGGTATTACGTTGAGTAAAATATTGATTGTTACACATTATATTATCTTGAAGTAATACGGTTCTTTACATGACAGTGTTAATGCCATGGTAAAATAAATAAAATTGTTGAAGGCAAATTGTCTTAAGCGTACAAATAAACGAGTATATTGAGTAATAAATGAAACACAATGCAATATTTGTATATTTGTTACACGTATGTTCGAAAGTGTGTTTGCATTTTTATTTAATTATTTTTGTAAGTTTTATAGGATAGATGAAATATTATTAAATGTTACAAAGATAACAAATATACTGAATAATTTGGGCGCTCTCCACACGACACACAAGAATGCCACATCTACACAGAAAACGAACACTTTGAGCCCTGAAGATGATCTCAATAAAGGTCGAAACGTTGGCACGATAAAGAAAATGTTTTTCTAAAACCTACGTCCCACCAGACCACATTTCACGATCTCCAAATAATCATACTGAATACTATTGAACTGTTATTTTAGGACAAATGTGATTTTAATTGTTAAATTATTTTTGAAATTCAGAAATTCAAAAACAAATACTCGAGTTATACATTAAGTTTTTTTTGTTCGTTTGCGTGGTGTGTGTGTGTTTGTGTGAAAAAGAAGAGCATAATTATGCAGTACTTTATATCTCATTTTAACTTAAGAGTTTTAAATGTTTTTCTAATGTATAAATTTGATTTGGTGAATGGATCCGATAGTACACTATAATTTCTGTTAATTAAAAGTGAAATTCCATTCCAAAGCAACGTTTTAGACAGCATTAAATTGACTTTATCCGTCCTTCACCTTTGAACGACCTTTTGAAGCCGTTTGTTCTTGTTGAACCCGTACCCGCAATTTACATCACCCTTCGATGGCCCGTAGGTTTTTTTTTTGTTTTTTTCTTGCTCTCCAACTTCTCCTAAAACTCAAGTCCCGCAGACTCCACTTGACTCCGTTGAGCTGACTAAGGCAAAAAGGTTTCACTAAAGCGTTGCCCTGACTAAAGCGATTTAGTGGGGACTGAGAAATCCAAACAAAGAACCTTCGTGTTGGGTAAACACACGAGCACGTTTTGATGTTTAGATTGGATGGCTCCAGGGCGGAGGACCCTCATTTCATAGACTTATTCCCGGAACATGACTCAGGCCGCGCAGCTCTCTTCCACAAAGAAGCAAATGTATTCGGGCAAACGTGAATTCCCCTTTTGTGCAGGATAACATTAGGACAAGTTGAATATCGTTATCGTAAAATGTTATTTATGGTCTTGATAGCGACGGCCTTTCACGATACATGAGGGGTTCACTGATGTCGACTCCCGTCCCAGTTCAGATAATTTCGTCAAGTATACTCTTTTTTATTGAGGTATTAATCAAAATATGTTATTTACGGCCTTGATAACATCGGGCATAAAAAATACAAATTGAGGGGGATATTCAATTGCATATGGCCAAACCTGATTTTCTTGTCCAGTACACAAATTTTTATAAAGCTAATACATAAACGTGGTTACTCACTAAAACATCATTTTTACATGTTATATAATTCTAGTTAAATATACAGTTTAAAAATTAATAAATTTTGGATTTATACTGGTATGATACCAAATCAAAGTAATTGTGCAATATAATGGGAAATGATCGTTTCTCAAAACTTGTGTTTGTAACAGTCATAAAAATCTGCCTTCAGTCTGTGTATTAGAAGTCAAATTAAAACCAACAAGCTTATTTTTATTTCATTTAACCTGGAAAGGTCATTTAATAGGGAATGACAAAAAATTAGATTTACAGAGGTTCTAGAAGTTCTACTGTGATTTTCCAGTTGTTAATATGCTATTTCTTTTTCTATATTTCCCAAATTGAACCGAAATTTTGTTGAAATCATGAGACACATTCTTAATTATTTTCAGTTATGTCAGTAATAAAAAAAACTGTAAACCCTAATCAGCACCTTTATGTGTCGTTGAATTTGAAAGATGTAAAAACAAACGACCGACAATTTAGACAAAAGAACGCACTAACAATTACAAATAATAATAATTGTATTTACGAAAAAAAACATAAAAAAGTGAGAACATTTTTAAGGATAAAATAATAAAAAAATAACTAAAATTAAGCCATTTAACCAATCAGGGCATTTTCGCCTGTCACCTAAAAGCAGGGCTTGTAACAGTTGGCAGAGGTTAAGTCAGTGAACAAAATTACTAAAAATTAAATCCCATGAATTATGAAGCTGTAAAAGACAAAATAAATGAAAGAGAAAAAATAAAAATAATGAAGAGAAAAAAATAAAAATAAAATAAAACGCAATAAATTCAAACAAAGCTAAAATAAAAATTAAAAAAATACAATAATTGCCATATAATGCCAAATATCCCACAAAAGAAGTTCAAATTTATAATTACATTAATTATAAATTTAAACAAATGACCGACCATTTAGACAAAAGAAGGGGCGTCGATGGCCGCAACGGTTTAGGCGTTGACACGGCGTTCATCACTTTAAGGTAAAGGTCCCGGGTTCGAATCCTGCGGTCCTGCATTCGAACCCGACATACTTACAAATGGGCTTTTTTTCAAAAACACCGGCACCCTGAGGATTGATATAACCTCTGCTGTTGCGACCTTCGTAAATAAAAAGGAACTAACATTTACAAATTCATTGCATTATTTCTAATACTACGTTTTGCTACTTTCAAAGTAGAGTCAAATAATTGCTATTTCTTGAAACGATTGCGCTACTAAAATTTGGATTAAAGAGAAGTATTTCCAAATTTGACATTCCAAAAGTTAAAAGGGAAGCCTTAGCTCACTAGGGTTTTCTGGAGTACTTGGAACATCAACAACAATAGCAAATGGATATCGAAGATGTTATAAAATGAAATCTTTTGTTG